ATTATATATATATATATATATATATATAATTATAATTAATAAAACCTAATTGAAAACCCACAGTAATAGACATTGCACACACTTCAATGGCAGTCTCAGTGTTAGTGCTGTAACTGTAGACCAATAACAGGGATGTGTGTATGTTTACAGCTGTATTTCTCAATCCTCACAAACGTTACTGTTAGCCTTTACGCTTCACTATTCGTCGGCTTAATAAGCTCAGTTCTGCCTTTAACTCATTTTTAGTTCCCTCACAGCTAACACAAGTAATTAGACTTATCCCTATAAACGGCTGCGCTAGCAACACGCTAAACCTTTCTGCTGCCGGTCCCAACCTGATGTATGCAAGTGGATTATCCTGTAAAGTGAGGTGACAAATGGAATAATGAGAAGAGAACAAACATTTAAATTGTCAGTGTATCAGGTGTCATGAGGGGACTACAGGTCTCATGTTTGTAACAACATTAATCATACCTGTGGAGCTTTCCAAATATGGAGAGATGGAGGGGAGGGGGGGGGGGGGATGGCTGTAAAATCATCTAGTCTTAAAAATATTCTAGCATTTCACATATTTCAGTTCTATTTTTTCTTTGGTAACCTTTGTCCGTCTTTGTTTCCACGTCACTGTGTCTCATCGCGTTCCTCCTCATATAAACCACTCCTCCACTCTTTCTTTTGACTTTTCACAGTTTATAGCATGACCATGTCCAGAGGCACATGGAAATCTCTGGGCTTCATTTGCATCTAAAGTGGAACATGCTCCTCTCTGGGCATGAGGATCCCCAAGACAGCCCCTCCTGTGTGGACCACCACACTGAGCCAGCCAACAGCACTGGCTCATCTCTAGCTGCTGGGTCGGGTGCATGGCAGCACAGTGCACAACACTATAAGGTCCTGTCAATCTCACCACAGCCCGCCTGGGGTCAACCTTCTGAAGAGCAGCAGGTAGGCAAGGACAGACACGACCCTCTTTACAATGACTCCACTCAGCCAGACGGACAAAAAGCATGGACAAGATATTAAAAAAGGCTCACACAGGGCGGCTGCCTTTCAAATGCAGGCGCTGCAAAGCTGCTGGCATTGTATAAGAATCCAATAAAAGCAAATGGGGACCCTAATAAATAACAGACAGACAGAGGAGTTTGGACAAATGCACTGTGAGAGACACATTGTGAAAAAGTCAATGTTGATGGAGGTCTGTGGGCATTTCAGGAGAGTGTTGAAATCATCTTATCAGAGTTAATAAAGGGAGAGGGTGTTGCAGGCTCACCCATCATCTCTGTTCTCATCAGTGTGGTCTCCAGTCTCACAGCACTCGCTCGAGGAGTGGGACCTAGCTCCAAGATTGTGTTAAGATAATGGCCATCTCCAATCATAGATAATCTGGCCCCATCTTTTCTTCACAGACACAGTGGCAGACAAGGTCAGAGGGAAAAAGATTCTTGGTGAGGCAGAGGAGATAGGGATGGGGTGGCTCTGAGATGATTTACTGCCGAGATTCACTCAGCTGCTTCCATCACCCTCCGTTAACTTTCTCATCCTGTTGTTTCTTCCGCCTTGCTCTTTTTGTCTTCTTTTCCTTACTCTCTCGTAACCCTCCAAGGAGCCTCTTACTGAAACCACACCTTTTTATACTGTCTGCCTCATTTCTGCTGCAGTATCTTTGATGCAAAGAGGAAAACAGACACCGAACAGAATTAAATTTTAGAGAAAAGAGTTTCTGTCTGGCTCGTTCCTCTCATTTCTGATCCTTATTTGGGATTGAACCAAACAAGCTCAATTTTATAATGAAAATATTACTAACAAAATGACTGTCTCATCCTGCACTGACCTTGGAGCAAATGACTATGGGACCCATTTTTTCTTAGTTGAAATGATGTTTTGATTGAACTGGGCAGAGAAAGGCTGATAAGTATATTAGATAAATGTATAAATACATTTTGCAGAGAAGGGCACATAATAGATTTGAGGTTTGTAAAGCTCTCCGCTCACACTTCATTTTTCTTGATAATGCAGAGGGGAAAAAAAATAAAACTAGACGTGAGTCATTGTAATAGACAGCCAGAAAATCGGCTCTGTGATCCACACTGGCAGCTGTGTGCCAGCATTCTGCGTTCTGAGGTCTCACTAGTCATTTCCAGAGCTATGGTCTCAGTTTTTCTCCTGATATTTACACATCCCCAGGGAGTGGATGTCTCCGAGGGACTGGGAGCTAAAGAAGGGCTACTGGTGTCTCCTAGAGGAGTAATGGGCCCTAATGCCTACACAGGCACATAATTGAGACCCCCTGACACTGGTTCCCATGACGGATAATTGCTGATGTCTTGGTGGTGATAAATGTGAGGTGCAAATGTCCCAGTTCAACTCTGACTTTGACAATCCGGAGGCCCCACTGGGACTAATGCACCTGTCTGGTGTGCAGCGTATCTTAGATGAATCCCTGGAAACTTTCCCTCCTTAATTCAGTCCTAGAAGGCTTGTCTATTTTCCCTTAACCACAGGCCTTCATAGTAAATCTCATTTCATTGTCAGCTGCGACTGTGGTTTACTTCCCAGGCCTGTCTCCTGACTTCCTGTTGCCATTAACGCTCAATATCTCTGTTGGGGCCTGTCTGCTTGGTCTTATTTCATTCTGTGCTCCATCCGCTCCTGTCCTCCCATATAGAAAGTTCATCTGACAGACAAGCAGGAGGCTGTGCCAGCCTAAAGAGCCTTCTGTATTTCATTCATACTGCCTGTTCATCGTCTTTCAGCTGAAAAGGGTAGTAATTGATATTGGGAGCCATCCATCCTTCCCTTTTAAACCCACACATCCAATTTATCTTGGTGAGAATGCCGATTGGCTTTTACCCAGGCCTTGTTGATCAGACTTGCCTGTTCTCAGATGGCCGTTAATTAAAGCGCTGCCATGACAAAAATAAGATCTACACTGGACTGGGTGTGTGTGTGGCCATAGAAATGGGCCACTTGATTCACACTCGACTAAATAAATCAACAAAGTGGCTCAGTCTAATCTGACCCGGGCAGTCTAAATCACCACTCTGAAATGCAAGCACAGGACGGACACAGACCGACCAAATTAAATCCTGTTCCATTCATGTAAATCTTTAACTAGGGTAATCTGCATTAACCTTAGGGATGTTAGTCCCAAATGGCTTCTGAATGATGTAGTCAATCACCATGTCAGTCAGACTAAAGAAACAAGGAGCGATGCTGGGTGTCGGCACAGAGCCAAACCTGGACTGAAGTCGTCCTGTTTTGAAATGGTGTTTATTAAAGTGATCATTCCTTTATACTTTTTAGAATGAGTTATGGACCAATTGAATTTTTTTCACTGATTCCAACTTCCGGCTTGCCAGTATTGAGTTTATCCTGAAACAACTCCAACACAGTCACGGGGCCTTCATTTCAATAAATTTCCAAATAAAATCATTGGTGACTGGAATGAAGTCAAAATATGTTTGTGTGCACCCACATTTCTAACAAATAATAATTGTGTGCACCCACATTTCTAACAAATAAAATCTTACACAGTAAATCTGCATAGAATAACAGCAATATCTGCTATTTACATTATTTTTGTAGTGACTTTAAGAACTAAGAATAAGACCTGATTTTTCCGTGTTTGGAAAAATGTTGAGCAATAACAACTATGTTTGCTCACTGTAAAGGACTTCCACCCTAACAACACACTGGCTGCAGCCTGTGACTGTATCTGTATCAGCTTTCTCTGCTCATGTACAAAATGATGGGCTGCAGACCTGCCAGTATATGTGCTGACAGACCAGTGGCTCCGATCACTGGCCGGTCGATCGGTGCATCTTTATTTAAAACACTGCTAACCTGACTAATGAACTAGGCCCTCAGACAACCGTGGTTCTACTGGAATAATCAACAAGTAAAATCACAGAGAGAAAAAGTATTTTCACTCTTTTGTCTTTGATGAACATGAACAAATTTAGATCGTTAGGGACACACTGGGTCATGCTGTACGTAGGCTGAAAAACAAATCATACATGTAACATTATGGACAGAGCTTAAGTTGTTTTAGGTTTTAGTATGAGAAGAATGCCACCATTGGATGGATGGGGTTTGTTAGGAGTGAAACAGTATTCACCGAGTGAACTTTGTTAGTCAGGGAACAACTGAAGGTTCGGGTAATTGATCAAATTACAGATTTGTAAAGCAAAGGTTTACCTTATCTTATTTGAACTGGTGTTTTCATTGTTAAAATATGGCCCCTTTAATCCCCGCCCTTTCTGTATTGAGTTTGTGTGTATGTCTTTATACAGCAGCATTATCCACTATCAACCATCCACTACCAGTAGGACGATGTAAAACAAATGGACATCTAGCACACTGTAGCATATTTAGTTTTTGAGGAATGTGTGTAATTGTCGAGGGGTTTTGTATTGTGCTGCTAAATGTTGACCAATTTTTATGAAATAGGAATCTGTGTTAGAACATCATCATCATCACCATCATCTTGTCCTCGTGATCACGTTGTATACAGGTTGGTGTTTCACGGAGGAATTAAGATACAGACAAGCATTTGCCCACAGAGGAATTAAAAATATATTAGTTTACTTTGTTGTTCATTGTTATTGACTCTCTACAGTCTGCAGTGCTTGGACCAACTCTTTCTTTTTCTTTCACACGTACTGTAATTCAAGTTAACGTACGAGTGTCTTATCAATGTTGATGTTAGTCTGAATTCCTTCCTCCATTTCTTTCTTCCTTCCTTTCCCTCTGTCTTGTCTTTGAACTGCTCCTAGTGAATATGAACCTGAGACAGTCCCACTGCTATCCCAGATGGGAAGTCAATAGAAACAAGTGACCTATATTACTGGCTACTCCACTAACACTCAGTGTGTCTCAAGTGGGAGAATATTAAGGATTGCACACGTGCTATTCCAGAATATTTCTGTGTTTGCTGGTGTGTGTATGTGTGTGTGTGTTTAAGAAGAGTGTGCAACAGAGACTAGAAGAAGGTTAATTACCTCCTCGTCCTTCGCTGTCGGCTGGCTTCACCTGGATGGGCCGATTCATCTGGAGAGAAGGAGAAGAAGGGAAAACCCTAAGTTAGTACACATCCAGAGGAGCAACTGCTGCATTGTGTGAAATGGGAATACAGCAGGAGAAGACTGTATCTTTCCAGTGTTCTGGATAAAATGTCCCAGGTTTGTCCTGATACTTAAGGCCTAATTCAAAAATCAAACAGTGACCGTGCTGTAAAAGGAAAAAATCTGTGCACAGCTCTATGCCAGTGTGTTTAATTAATCCAGGGCATGGCCTCTAGAGATGACTGAATTCCCCACACAGTTCAGTAGAATTAGCACTTCTAAATGATGTAGCCACACTGGGTGTGTGATGGCACTTGGAGATTAATGCCATTACATCAGACCCAGGCCAAAAGGTCCTTTTTGGCCAGCCGTTGCTCTTCCTGTCCCAGTCTGGCTCCAGACTCACAGTCACCAGCTATATCCCGCTCATCTCTGACCTGAAGACATTCTTCTTCTCCTACTTCGTCCCGTCTTGGTGTCCTGTCTCTTTTACCCTAAGGCTCTAAAAAACCTTTAACCAATAGCGCCCTGGTCTGAGTGGCCAAGCTCTCCCCGACTGAGTCTCCTATTATCCTACTATTGATGGCCACCAAACAGCACTGTGAGGCGGCTTGTGAAAGGTTAACAGTAGGGAATCTATAAACAACCTTTGAAGATCCATTTTGATGTGAGGTGAAAGCCAAAGGACGCCGTAAAACAACCCTTTTAAAAACTGCCTGTTGTGAATAAAAACTCCCCTGGTTGTTTTTATTCCCCTGAATATGTCTTTTTTTTCTCTATCTCTCTGAAGCCTAAACATGAAAACAAAGAAATACTGTGTACTTCAACTGAAGCAGCTACTCACATTAGTCGCATTTGGTGGTTCTATAGTGTTTCAATAGTGTAGAGGTTAGCATGCCTGTCTGCTAAATAAGGGACTCAATTATTATTAATGTTATTATCATTATATGGCACTGTGTTGTTGTGGAGCCATGTGGCAGAACTTTATCCCATGAGCGCCAATGAGTGGCACATGTAGTGCAGACTCAGGTCACCAGCCTCTATGTAGAGTTCAGTTCACACAGCACAGCAGATGAAGTCACATACTTCTGTACTAACACATGTATTCACTATTCTAAAGCATTCGTGTTAAACTGCGGTGTCTTCCACCCAAACATCGATGGGAACGACGTTGCGATACCAACCGCAATTTAAATCCTGATTTACTAGAGCTCAAAGTAATTGACAACCATTGTTTAAACAACCATTATGAAAATAAATACAAAGTGCCTTACGGAGAAAATCAGAGTCCCAGATAGAATGTTAAGAGGAAATAGCAATAAAATAATAAAATTGAATGAATTGAGCAAATTTATTATATAAATGAGCGAGCTAAAGACAAAATAAATGGAGAAGGAAGAGAGCAGAACTGCTGCAACAATCCAGGTTGTTGAACAACGTCTCACAAAATCAGAAAAAAAAATTAAAGAAGGGATTTGTTCAGATAAACTAATTCGATTTTACCTTTACCAGAGAGAGATGTACACATTTTGTAAAATCTACTTCCACCTGGATTTATTACTGCCAAATTTGGGAATCTAATGCTGCTAATGAAGAGAGTAATATACCAAATTAAAGAAAAACTGACTTTTCAGCTTCATACTTTAAAGGTTTCCAAAAGTACTAGTAAAAAGTACCAGTGGCCTTTTTGTTATTCCCAATGGGAATAACAATGTCTGGAAAATCTTCTTTTAAAAAAGCCATAGTTTCCTTTGACTTTGATATCAACCGTACCAACCTTGCTAACGTTTCATATCAAGTTATTTATTTAATTTTTTCAATTTTTTGCTGTCCACCCAGCTCTGTCCATGTCCTGTGTATTATCCATAATAAGGATGTTTTTCATGTGTTGAGCAAAACTTTTCTATAATTATTGATTTTTTTTCACCAAACATAACCTGTTACGCTGACTATACAGTAGTGTCTAACTTGATAACAAACCTATTCATCCGCTGCTGCTCTGTGTACGACTCTCAGGCTCTGCGGGGATTTAAAGGCCGAGGACGTCCTTATTGTGGAAACTTGTCCTTCTCTCAAATGTTTTTTTTACATTGTTATTTTGCTATTACGTGAATGACCATCCTGCCTAAAGGAAATATAAAGGTCATATACGCGTTAGTCTCTGCAGCTGACAGTGTCTGATGAGATGAGGCATCAGTGAGAGGCACCGTGACCTGCTGACGCACTGCTGCTTACCCTGAACAAACATCATTCATCAACACTAACAGCATTATTCTGACATATCTTGTATTCCTTTTAGCAGTTATTATATTAAAGTAAAAGGGAAGCCGACACGACTTAAATCTTTCCAAGCCAGGGGACAAGCTAAAAAAGAAAATGTTTCTTTATTTTCCTTGGGGTGAATGTGAGTCCACATGTCTCACCTACGCTTTGTATTGGCCCACAGTGATGGCAGTGATGGAGTAAATATAGATGTTCTGTTTTTAATGTGATTGAAGGGCCATGAGGGCTGCAGAATCCTGACTATTTCTCTCATCTCTGGATTAAAGCCTCGTGTACTATATTGAATAATTTCACCCAGATCAAGTTCAAGCAGAGCAAAGCACTAACGCAAGTCAGTGTGCGATGGAGAGAATTAAGGTCAGTCGGAGCATTGTGAGCAGTAAGTCAACGTGTTGTACGTGTGTATGCGTTTGTGCTCACAGCAGCTCAGGTGGGGGCAGAATTTGTCTCACATAAGAGGTTTAGGGCAGTCCCGAGATCCCTGCCCAGTGATCAGTCAGTTTCCAGGTCTTAAACGCCAGTGATTGGTCAAGAGGCTTCATTAGTAGCCCCTGAGCCACTGCAGCAGCTAGAGTCATTAGACAACCCAAAGGTACACTCTAAGTTGCTAGGCAACCAAGTGGACCTGACCGGCAGGCAGACGGGGCTAGTTGGCTGTTGGTCTGTGGGCTGTTCGCCAACCAATTGGCACTCATTCCTTTCTTCTTCTTCTTTTTTTTCTTCTTCTTGGTCCAAGGAGGTCATAGTGAGAGGGAAGCAAAAAAGATTTCCCAACTCCCACCTTGCAGCTCGTCCTACTTTCATGTCCCTTTTTGGTGACTCTGACAGTGAGTTTTTATAGTAAGTCTGCGACTACTTTGCTTCCCTTTTTTGCTAAATTAAAAGTTGTGTCGGATGCCAGACAATAGGGCTGGGAGTAATGCCTCTGCACATATGGCGGCAGTTAGGATGTCTAATGCTCTGAACATCTGAACAAGTATCCTCTAAAATTTTTTTTTGAAGAAGAAGAAGCAGAACATTACTGTGTAAAGATGTTGATGCTGACTTCACTTTATCCCCTTTTTCTCCTCACTGACACACACACACACGGGCCCAGAAAAGTCTTGGGGCTCAATAACAGCAGGTGGCTTAGGTGACATTTTAATCCCTTATTACTCAGTGAAGGATTAGCCAACAGATCGAGGCAGAGTTAATTATATGAATTCATCAGAGGCTGTGAAAAGAGGCAGTCCACTTCCCCCCTGGGCCGGGACCCGCTCACCCCCACCACCCCACCATCCCACTGCACACAGAAGTACGTGTACATACAGTGAGGCCAGTGACATTCTGACTGTTTGAGGAGCTAGTTCCTTATTAGCATGGCAAGCAAAGATAAAACATACAGTGGAGCCTCCAGAGATGCTGTAAGACAAATGGCATCCTCTGCCGTCCCGTCGGGCGCCGCAAAATGAACTGCACAGACATTGGAGAGAAAGACTACAGGCTGTTTCATCCTGTAGACGTGTGGCTGCCGATGCTGAAAGGAGTTCAACCACCCCCTCCCACCTCTTCCTTGCTTTATCTCTGTCTCTCTCTGCCCCTTTGGCCTCCAAAACCAATATGCTTTCCACCACAGCCCCTTAATGGGTTGATCAATGCTGACAAATAGGCAGCTCATGCTGTCTTGCCTGGGCTCTCTCAACTCTGGGCCCGTGTGCTGCTGCACTCAGAGAGGCCATCTCTCTTTTTCCCCCTCACAGTTCCTCCTTCTTGCCTTTCTTTTTTCTTCAGTCACTTTTTCTCCCTATATTTCCCCCCTCCTTCATGCTCTACTTCCTTTGTGTCTATACGTTCATTTTTACTTTGTTCTAACCTCCAGGGGCAAATCTATATTTTTCATTCCATATTGATGAATAAAAGTCAGCTGAAATCACAGAGGGAGTAGAGAACCAACAGTGTGGAAGAACGGAACTTGGTTACAATTTCCCGTGGAGGACTGTGTCCGACTTCAAGAGCACAGAGACCAGTGAATGTGAATGCCTGCGTTAATGTCCATCCATCGTTTTTTGTGGCGTGTCTGATGATAACAGAGCACTGCATGGAAGTAGAGGGAAGGACACGAATGGTCATTGCCCACAGTTGACCACAGGTGACCACTGTTGGCCCCTCCCTGGTTACTTTTGCTGTAGCTGTGAGAGTATTTAACGTTCTCGCTGTAGCTGAACACTTTGATCCACTAAAATGACACAGGGATATTGAAAATTGTGAAGCTTCTGTAAAAAAAAAGAAGATTGCTGATATCCATTCCATCAGTGTTTCCTCTGCACCATGCTATGACTTTTACCAGCCTTGAACCAGCCTCATGTTATGACTGCCGAAGCTAAAGGGGAAGTAACTAAGGTGATACAGAAATCTTCTTGTATCTCTCTTATCATAACAAAACAAACAGCTACGACTTAAATACATAGTGTATTTGGATTTTGAATGTAGTTCATGTATTTCTATGTCTTGAACATCCCAGTGAGTTCTTTTACATTAATGAACTGCTTGTAGTGAGATCAAAACCTGATGTTTTTTTTTTCAACAATTGTCACAGAACAGTAGTAGTGCTACTGTATTCTTCTGGTTTTAGTTTGGTGTGAACACCAAACTATATAATCAGTAAGTGCAGCTATGGCAATGAATCAAAATAAGTTATTCTCTTAGAGAGAGATATATAAATAA